GATCACGAAGAGTTTGGGTATTGTACGCCTTTCAGGATGGGGTCTCTATGACCCCACCTGTGCTTGGCTGGAGACGCTGTAAAAAAATAGCAGCTAATCGATGTCAGTGGCGTTCGTGCTGTCAGTTTCTTTCCAGGTTGTCTGATTGAGCTGTAAGAGATGTAAGCAACGCAGAATGTTTGACATAAGCCAGCACGAGGTCCCCTCCCTCGCTCGTCGGATTAGTAGAACCTTAAGGTATCACGTGTATTCCTCAACTTTTCCGATTCTTTCACCTTCCGAGCCCACCCGAATTTCCGGTCGGCAGGCGCAGCAATTTTAACTTGACATCTGGCTATCCACCGAGATGGTAAGTAAGCAAGATTAGCTGAAACCCTCCGAGATTCATGCAACGTCACTGTTTTATCTAATGTTCAGTACATGAGTGAACGTGGTTGAAATATGAAATATGCTGAATTCCCGTGCATCAAGAAATCATGGAGGTGTCACAATCCAATGTGAACTAAAAGCCAATAGTAGATGATTCACATTAATCCATTTGAACTCAGTACCCATGAGGCGTCTAAATCTCCCCCAAAAGCACGGAGAAAGCGGTGTGGCATGAGTGCATGACCGGAATTCACACGTATTCCAAAAATGAGTCGGCAATTTATCTGTCATTTGTATTTGATGGAGGTTGATCGATTCGGCTTAGCAGCTGACCGGTCGCTGGGGGCCAGATTTGGGAGTTAATACGGCGCGATATTTGCGGTTGGCACACAGGCGATCCACATGCTCACTGCTATCCGTTCAGCTGCAACACGCTTCCGGGGCCTGGCTTCTGCGCCACCCGGAGGAAGCACGAGGGCTGGGTTACTGTCAGGTTAATAATAATAAATAATCGTTCAGCTGTAGCACACTTTCGGTGTCTAGCTGCCATGCCACACGAAGGAGGCATGAGGGCTGGGATACTGTCAGGTTTTCCCAAGCTTGACAAGGGAAGTCGAGAGGAAGAGGTTGTATTCGAACTGCCTTCCGTATTCACTAAAGTATTCAGGATCCTGGCAAACAGCTTTCAACCCGCCGTAAAAGAGCATTCAGAGTGCCATGAGTACTGTCGTTGATTAGGCATAGTCTATCGGGGTGTGAGCCAGATGAATTACAGACATGAGTACTTCGTTGATTAGGCATAGTCAATCGGGGTGTGAGCCAGATGAATTACAGAGACAACTATCAACTGGAACCCAGTTAAGCAAAGTTCATTCTGCTCGGCGACTTAGGTCACCAATACATGTTGCATCCAGAGCCAGCTGGTGTCTATGACAACTGTTGTTCGAAGTATTCAGCCCACCGACCCAGGTGTCCTTCTTTATTCAAGACGGTCACTCCTTTCCGATCCTTGATGGTTTCGCTCACAGGTGGTTTCCGGGGACCGGTCGCACGGATCAACTGGAATAATCTTCGGGCGTTATCAGCTTCCTGGGCCTTTTTCACTTCTTTGGCTTTGTGTCCACAACACTTGACAGTCGGCTCGTACGCTCACTTTCACGACGTCCGATAATTCGGCGCATCCAGTTATGTTTGGGACTGAGCGGGATATTTCTCCAAGATTTAAGGAGTGTCGACGTTCGGTCTGATATCCAATGCTTGAGTGAGCCTGTTGGTGCCGTGCCACAGACACTAAGCAAAAAGGTGGCAATCTTGTCCCAATATGAGTTCGCATTAGATGGTGGAGCCTTTTGAAGAGACTCTAGAAGACGATTCCGGTAAGTGTCTCTAACAACCAGATCTGCCAGTCTCTTAGTTGCCAAGCTATTTGTCCGCACCTTACGCGGCCCATATAAGCGCAGAGAGAAGCGACGCCGTGTGTGGTCGGAATCCACAAACGTGTTCCAAAACGACCGGGAGTCCGTTTTTGAGCCGCGCCATCGGTAACTGATTACAAGGTTGTCGATTTGAGTTTGTGGCCGGTATACCGTTGGAGTACACCATGTGGCCAGACGACTTCGGCTATTTCGGAAGTTCGTACTGCATAAAAGCAGCCTGCGATCAGCACACAGCCGAAACGATCCTTCCCCATTTTCCATACGTACCGAGTCCTATCCATGTGGTCCCCCTAATTGAGTCTCAGACACGCTGAGCGCGCCCACTTGTGCATTCAGGTCTCCGTCAATCACCACGATATCTGAGCTTTCAGCTCGCCGCAGCAGGAGATTCAGGGCATCGTAAACCTGTCTTTGATGGCGTCGGAGCTGGGGCATAAGCGGGCACGACAAACAGACAGCGATCAGCTTCCCGCCTGCGAAACTCCTTCACAGACGTTGCCAGACGAACCGCACAGGGGCGAAAATCACCAGGTATCCGCCCACTGACTCAGAACGATACCGAATCCTGCACATCTCACTGCAGAAGACTCTGAATCACAAGAGGTGCGCAGCCGGAAGCGAGTGGAGAATGATGGGGTGGTTAGCTCATCCATCGTACTTGCACCTTGAGTTCTTGTTTCTGAGACACATCACACATCAATGCCAAGCAAGTGTGGTGTGAGTGCAAGAGCAGTTTGATGCCCTGCTTGCTTCAGAAGGCGGCCAAATAGATTGTATTGACGCTTGAAAATTAACTTAGAAATACCTGAGGATGTCTGCACCATGTGACGAGCAGATGCTGCACCCAAAACCGATGCAAGATGAACGGAGTCACAATCCTAAGTGCTGGACCTACAAGGAGAGAGTTATTAATGGGGCGGAGAGAAGGGGAGGAAAAAGTATGTGAAAGAGAAAGAAGGGAGGCGTCAGCAGTAGCCTGTTTCCGCTTACCCGCCCTGCTGTATGCAGTCAGTAAGGCGACCCGGCTGATGGCGCCACGCGACGGCCGCTGTGACATAAGTGTTGTTATTTGTAAGTGTCATGGCTGTACGTGGGCTGAGATACTAGCAGGGCGCCCAAACCTAGACAGGAGGACGATTAGGGTCCTCAACCAAAAATTTTGGCTCAAAAGCCTAACCGCAAGGCAGCGGTGTTTGGTGGGAAATGCAAATGCATTACCATTTCCCTTGACGGTTTGAGGAAGATAGATCCCTCGATAAGACAGGATCATCGGCTGGTGGACCAAAAGTTGACATCACAACCAAGTGCACATAGGGCTGAGGTAATGGTGGAGAAATATTCATCAGCACCACGCTTCCGCTTTTTCTCATCCCACACGGTATCTCCACCCACACCCGAGAGTATGCTGACGTATATTGCAGTATCTCGGCGCTCCGGAACAGGGATTAGGTCAGGTGTGATGAAGAACGTCGAAGTAGATGCCCTCCACACCCCCAAAGCAGTGCATCCTAATCGATGGAGACGTTTTCATAGTTCCTTTGCAACCCGAATATGACGAGCACATCTGGCGTCATGCATGATCAAGCAGGACACCTCAATTTTGGATCTTTGTTTGAGCGGTAGGGTGACCCCACAGGTTCACGAGCTGATAGACAGGATCAAGGCTTTTGCCAAAGTTTCCGGGCTGGTTGTATTCTTGTCGTTCAGCGGCTGCCGTTCACCTGAAAGACGCAAGTAAAAGAGGGGTGTAGCACTGCTCTTTAAGATGCCAGCGAAGAGCAGCATGACTGCTGCTGCGGGGACTCGCATAAATAAATGTCTAATACTTCTTTGAAATTGGTTCTAGGTGAATCGTGGGCAGCCGTCGAAGGAATGTTATTCCACTCAGCTACCTCCTGAAATGGGAGAACATTTGCCCGATGAAAGCGTGTACTCTGGGCTTGAAAGTATTCCTACTATAACCCCACCCTGCGTTTGACAGCTTGATGAGAAAACTTGACACACCAGAGCACTAACAGTATAAAAAAACTTATTCTCCCCAGGCTTCCCTGGACCTCAGCTTTAACGAAACGGTTGGAACATTGCCGCAGGCATCTGGTGATCAGGCGTCACTGCTCCTCATCCGTTAAACGTGCCCCCATTTGCTTAAGAAAGAATGACAGTTTTCTCTATTTTGCTGGCATTTTCAATCGTACTTCTGTACTTTGTTGTCTACGGTATGCCGAAACACCATCATGGCTGCAAAAGTATTCTTGTCAATCTCAGACATCACTGCATCACCAGGCTGCCTACGAATTCCAAACCAACTCGATGACATTCGACATTCATTGTCTTGTTTGGGCGCTTTGGTAGCAATAACTAACCAGACTGACGTAATGGCGCGGCGCCGTGCAAACTTATCATGAGCTATGAGCCATAATTCGCCAAACACACTGCCTACCATGAGCTCAGACAAGGTGTCCAAAATGGGGCTGACTGAAATTTTAACTCTCACTGCTTTTGATGGTATTCTAAAATTCGCTCGCTATGTAGATTGCTGCATACCATTTAAGTGCTCGGTGGCGCACGCCATATACCACCTCAGTATATGCCCCAAAGTTCGCCTCGTAGAACTGGAACGCATCATCACTCCAGGCACACCAAAAGTTATATTTGGAACCCCACGCGCCTGCGTGCAGAACTAACGCAACGGCCCGATTCCGTCATTCAGAAATGTTGCCGGTCCGACTTCCACTGGCTTGAGGTGCTGACATCCTTCTAATGAGCATTGTTGACAGAACTCTGTGCTTTCTGGCCATCCGCGAAAAATGAACGTGAACACGATAGCTAATCATGAAAGCCATTGATATTGATCAAAAAACGGGACTGTTCTAAGACAGAAGCATGGGAGCCTCCGGAGGCCAAGTGGGCATGATGAGGTGAGCAACATTGTCCACTGGGCCTCGTAAAATCTATGCTGGATGCGAGTATTACAAATATGTTGCTCCTGCCACCTTGTTTAAACTAACTGACCTTCAAAATTACCAAGCACCGCCGATTCGTACGTAACAACCTGTAAACTGATAAAACGCAAAACCAAAATTTTGATTAGTTGAACGGTCTACAGTGTTTTTGACACCCGGATTAAATTTTACATTATTACTGATGCAAAGCACACCGACGTGGATAATTGAATAACCTTTGGATCCGTCTTACTCTTTCAGTGTAACTGATAAGAAGATCTGATTCATAAATTTTCGGCAAGACGTCGCTTGCGCCGCTCGACCTGCATCATCATCATCATCATCATCATCATCATCATCATCATCATCATCATCATCGTCATCATCATCAAGGAGAGCAACATCAGTGCTGCCACTGATGCTTCACTGCTGACCTGTATACAGTATACTTTTTGAAGAAGCTGTGATGCATTGTGCGAAGTGAGCGCTACTGCTCATAACTGTAAATGAGTTTCCCTATCAGGTACTCGCGCGTGTTCATGAGGTAGTGTGGCCCTCGTTGATCGTTTTAATGCGGGTTTCAAAGGATCTGCCGAACAGAATACATAACCTAATCCAACAGCCAGCGATGGTTATTTTATCATCGTAACCTTAGCGACTTCTCGTATCTGCTTGACAAGCCTCTACGTACGCCAATGAGTACAAGGCCTCAATCATGCATGATGGCCTATCGGCTCTTGCTCAACACTCTCGTATGTCTTCACGAGTCTCTATGTCTGTACCCGAAAACTGTATGATCAACATTGGTACAGTATTTTTAATTAATTGATCCGCCTGTGAAATAGTATAACGTAAGTTAGTGGGGCTCTATATAGGGGCTCCAGTCGAAGGCCTGCGTCGCTGGCTTAAGTTTGTTTCAATCGCAGCGTAGACCCAGAGAAATCCTCCTATGAACCCAAAACATCAATCATACCACAGTATGAAATGCTGTTTCATGTTTGTGCGAATAAACCCACCGAAGGTACATAGTGTGATGTTCCTGAAGGAGTTCATTTTTAGAAGCTTATGGCCCTTTTTCTTAGGCTGTGGTTGCACCATTCAGAGGTTACCTCATCATCCAAACATGCAACACAACCATGCATCTCCGGTGTTTCTCCGATGTCTCGTGCGGAAATCTTTGAAGCACAGGTTCCTCCATATTCGCCCAACGTCCTTGTGCAGCATCCAATATTAGACAGCAATGCACCTCCACAGTTGATATGCTAATTCTCACATTATTTCTCCATACTCCAATTGTCCTCATCTGGTGGTCCATGGACTGAGGTGAAAAAATTTTGATGCTGCTTGCTTGGTTGATTTTACAAGGGTTACCCAGGAAAAATAGCGTGCATTTGATTCACTTTACGCTTTTATAAGGCTGACGGTGCTAAGCGTTGCACACTGTGCGTTAGTAGTGGCATGTGATAACAAATATGTCAATTAGGATTCCCTCGAACGCCGTGCGAATAATAGTTCGTTTTAGGAAACGTGCCACACGTAGATGGAAAAACGAAAAGCGTGCTCTTGGTTTGCCTGTGTAAGATTGGACTGCCAAATATAACCGGACATGTTATGTATGCGTGGCTTAGCGACTGAGAGGGGAGTCCCTAGCAAGGAGTGGGCGGGGAAAGATCCTTAATTTTGTTACTCGTGTCAGCTCACATCGGGTCTCCTGTTGGGTGAACGATAGCTCGAACCTAATGAACATTTGTGCTGAACGCGGACAAAATACGGGTTGACCATACGGGATGAAAACTTTGTGTTACACGGACGTTTAGCATACTAATTTTCTAAGAAATATGCTCCACGTTGTGAGAGTTATAGACGGATTGGACAGGAATTTGTCAATATTATCTATGACCGCTTGTTACAGCAAAATAAATCAATTAACTCGAGTCGCTTCATCATATGGGCGTCAGAATATTGTTAGTATTCGTTCCAAATAAGCAGTCAAGACACAATGATCTAGTAAGCTTTTAAAGAAAGTAACTGTGACAGACACACGCCCAATTCTTCACAAATTACGTCGGTTTATTCACAACCCTTTACGGACGTCTTGTTCAATGCATTATTGCAAATGGTACTGCCGCACTGTAAGCGACAAAATCGATAAGTCGATCAACGAGCACCGAAGAATGGATCCGAATTCAAAACGAAAGTGATCCCGACGAAAATGTGCTGTACTATATGACAAAACATCAATAAATCAGTTAATGTACAACAAATCTTGACAGTTATCGACCAACGGTTAGACCCACGACAAACGCGGAGACGAGTATTAAGCGTGAGAAACCAGTCCTAAAAGTGCCAAAAATATGAATTCAAACAAATGGTAATATGGCTCATTAGAGGAACCGAGAAGATTTTCGGATTTTGTGCAACGCAATGTTTTAACGGATGGGATAGAGGTGGGGTGATGCAATAATAATAATAATAATATGTCAATGAACAGCAGGCAGGATGGGGCGGGACATTTGAATTTACGCAGTTGAGTTCAGAGAGATTGGGTGGGAGAAATTTTCAACCGTTTTGTGCGTTACCCGCGCACAAAGCATCTAAGCTGGTGTGAAGCCAATTCTTAGATGCAGTGTGGATAAGTAATAACTATATTGCTTACCATCAACTTGTGGGTGGCATACCGTCTGGCATTATCATACGTTTGCATACAGAATGAAGGATGCCTGGGGGTTTGCGAGTAGCGGGGATAGCGCAAAAAGAGGTCAATGTCATAAACAGTGGGAGGTATTCGACGAAATAATAATAATAGATTTGTTTTCTAACTTGTGAACAATGGACATGAGGTCCGAGTGATTCAAAGACTCAGTCGGCTGTCATGAACTAAAACTGACAAACCATTGCTGGTCATGCGTGACCTTGAACGGTTGGGTAAGTGGCCAGCTCCACAACGGACAGACACGGTGGTAAAGTAATTCGAATTCGGAGAACATGGCAAGTTTTGTCTCAAAAATGTGGTTTTATCTGAACCTAAGCAGACTGACTGGTTCCACTGTTGTAGGGAAGTCAGGTGCAGGGGTTAGGTTGGAGGGGGACATGGGGACACAGAAACACAGGGATGGTTAAATTCGAACGAGTAGTGCAACAGGTTTGAATGAGTATGTCATGGAGGCAGTTGGGGTCAGCTGGGAATTTTGCCTTTTTTTCAGTCGATGGAACGAGTGGGCAAGAGGAACGGTCAGGAGGAGGAATGCAACAGTTGCGGGTGGGCTATCAAACTGGGTATGGCTGTTCCGTGCTATCATTAGCCTGACATGCTTCATATTTTGGACAGTCCCGTAACGGATGCCATATTTAAGGTTATTCGACTGGGGTGTGCAGTTTTTTAGCAGCGGGATTCATTTCGGGCTGGCCGAGGAAACAGCTGGTACGAAGCCGATATGGGATCGCGGGTTTTCTTGGTCCGTTTGGGATCCAGTGGTTATGGATCATAGGACAGTGGGGTTGATATCAGCTTTCCAGGTCACCCAAACCGGCATTGCCGAAGTTCAAAGCTTAGGAAGATGATGGGGTGAGATGAGATCTATAAAATATGATGAGTCTGAGGAGACATCAATTGTGATAGTATGCATTAATATACATAGAAAGAAACACTTGAGATCTGCCGCAATTATATTGACGACAAGTGATTATATGGAATAGTAAATAGATGGGTAGAAAAGGTCCATAGTCTCCTAAGCGCGGCTATCAGATTTAATCCGTAAGTGGTGAATAGAAATGAAAATTTTCTTGTCTACCGCTGGGAGCGGCGGGTAGAAATTATCTCTAGTTGGATGACGAAATTGGCTTCAGTAGTGCGGTAAGCCTGTGTTCTGACGAAGGCAGATACAGTTATGCTTGCCGATGTAGACCATGAGCTTTGCAGAGTATCTTCAGGAGAAGTATCCCAGGTGAACTTTTAATTTTTTGTTTTGTTTTGAAGGATGAAAGGCCAGTTTTTCATCTGTGGTTTATGGCGTTTCCAGATATATAACTGAACCAAGGCGAGCCCGACAGCAGCGGGATTACTTTTTTGGATTTCCTGAATTTAATAACCAGGCTCAGAACCATCGGCGACGGGCGATGCACCCTTCCTACTGGAGGGGCGGCGTATATACGAGCGCACCATAGTGCAACGTAACAGAGCGACTCTCCCTGCAGGGCGTACCCGTTCACCAAACGAGGTTTTCATCCTCTGTGCATTTTAACAGATCTGGAAGGTGCGAAAGCGTCCAAACAGTCATAAATGCGGTTTGTGCATTATTAAATACTCCAGCTACTTTTTTCTAGTCGAAGGGAAGCAAGGATAGTAAAGAAAGCTCACTCAATTCGAACAAGTAGACCGCATACAAACGCCAGTAGAGGCGAGTTGCAGAGGAGAAGTGAAATGACAGTTGTCAATGGGACAGTGGGGCTGGAATGTTGATACTAACGGCGATTGCGCCATGGCTAAACGGCGTCGGAGCGTTGGTGGGGTTACCCTGTCTAGCGGAAGCGTGTCGCGATGTTGTGTGTGATAGTGCTTAGTGGGCATATTATCAGACGAATAACTATATGAGCGCAGAATGCGCTCTGGTAATGAAAAAAGGTGGCTTTGGTTTGGTTTACATAAGTTAGAGTTAGACTGAGTCACTAGGTGAAGCTGATGGAGTAATCCGCAGTAGGTACTTGACTAGGACGAGGTATAAGCTGGCAGGGGAAAAGAACAACAACCAGCCCAGTAAGACAGCATATTAAGAGTTGGTAGGCGCTTGAGTCGTACAGTAAGTTGAAAAAAGAGCTAATTTTCGTTTGGTATTTGTCAGTAGATTTTGGCCGACAACAATAGTCGCTGGACAGAGTATATGGAGTAACCCGGTGTAGGGACTACAGTGGCACAAGTTGGTGGGGCCTGGTGATCCTTAATCTTACTTTCTTGTTAAATTGACGTAGTAGACCTCAGTTAGGCTATGATTCTCATCAATTATCTGGAAGGCTGTTGCTTGTCCGCTTTTTACTTGTCTACTGTCGCTGCTCACATTAACCCCTCTTTCTGCACAACAAGGATCATGATGCTTTAGTGAGCCAAATCTACCGCCCGATCTCAACTAGTTCGACAGCTAGCCTCTCTGCCAGCTACTTGGATGACAAAGTTCTCACCTTCCTAAAACTAGGCACCTACTTTGGCCCAACTGGCACTTGGTTTAAAGATCATAAAACGTATTCGCCTTTCTTGGGTCCAGTTAGCTAGCTGTTATCCCACTTTGGATATTTCAAATGACGCCGCTGTGTCTTATGCCTCCCGATACTCGCCACAAGCTGCTGCTTTCATTCTGTTTCTTTCTCGTTGCCCCCTTCTTAAGCTTCAAACCTCGATCGCAGTTGTCCAAACGCACCGAAGAA